ATAAAAATCCATAGTATCTTAACTAGAATCATATACCTAATATTAGAAATCAACGAAAGAAACACAGTGAAAATTATCCAAGCGTATGCCTTAAAATCAATGACGATCAATTCGAAAGCTTACAAGATCAGGAAAAGTGATCCTGGGTGATTTTAATATCAAATTACCCGATAGCCCTTGCTCCTCATGAGTACGAAGAAAGAAACAATAGAGCATGCTTTTAAACTTCTTGTTGCTTCATAAATTGCAATGCAACCAAGGCAAATGTAATTGGGGACCCCTAACGGTGTTACGAAAAATGAAATTGACCGTAGGATATCGGACAGGAGAAATATAATACAAGATGTTACCGTCCTAGCCTACAACATCTAAAAAACATTGATATATAATAAATAAATATTGACCACTTAAATGAACAAATTAATAGACAGAAATACTAGACTAACATGCACAATAAAAACAAATAAAAGATGATCAGAGCATGAAAGTATTCAAACGTAAACCAAAATTAAGGTAAAAAAAAATATTTGTAAGTTGGCAGACAAACACAGGAACAATGTTTCCAGTAGTCACCAGTTAAAAAGGATAGTGAAGGATTATTCGGAACTGTAATCAAGCCAATTTGAAAACCTGCAAACCAAATACCAAAAGTTCAAAGCGTAGGATGGAAGATAGTCCAAACATAACCTCATATGGAAAACAGCCAATTACCTGGTGATAATGACGTAACAATGGAATCAAAAAACACGTTTGCTGTGATTTCCTTGTGAAAAATGAACCAAAACCACCTAATAACTATCATGCTTGAACATGTTTCAGCAATGCGCCCTTGAAATTACGATTTGTCACTAAAAAACGCCCCCTATATTATCTCTCTCTCTCTCTCTCTCTCTCTCTCTCATCTCTCTCTCTCTCTCTCTCTCTCTCTCTCTCTCTCTCTCTCTCTCTCTCTCTTTCTCTCTCTCTCTCTCTCTCTCTTCTCTCTCTCTCTCTTTCTCTCTCTCTCTTTCTCTCTCTCTCTCTCTCTTTCTCTCTCTCTCTTCTCTCTCTCTCTCTCTTTCTCTCTCTCTCTCTTTCTCTCTCTCTCTCTCTCTCTCTCTCTCTTCTCTCTCTCTCTCTCTCTCTCTCTCTTTCTCTCTCTCTCTTTCTCTCTCTAATGGCTTATTCTTCTCCTTCTTAATCCGCTGTCTCCGAGCGCCGAAGGTAGCCCAATTGGCCAATACAATTTTGAAAATTGCTGCTTTAAAGATATCAATTAATGGCCATACCATTCCTGCGCTTTGGGTCTTTGAGCCATGGATTCTGTCTCCTACCCACAGATTCCCTCTACAAAAAACCTTAGTATTTCACAGCTTTCACCACGTATTATATAGTCTATAAATCAGAATTTTTAGTTCTTTAATGCAGCATATTCATTTTTTTGTTTTGTGCGTGCGTTCTTCTATATAAATACATTTCATATTTTAAAGTAAACTGGAAAAATATCAAACCATATCATTCTCATAACAAAATGGTTACTTAATAAAAATATCAGCCTAAAATTTTATTTAAGCAATATTCGATTTAACTACACTTTTAAGACACCCTACAGTGTCCCTATTATTTTAGTTTTTTCATTTCGTATACATAAATGTCATTCTAAACGATTTTTTCCAAAAACGTTTTTGAGCAACTTGACAAATAACTTCACTTTTTTAGGTCGGAATTTTATATGACTGATATCAAAACGTACTTTTAAGTTAAGTGAAGTTAAATGCGATTTAACTTTCCGCCAGACTTGTGATTTTGATAACATTTCTTCTTTGGTTAGTCCTTTGCTGAAATATTGATTCAGGTAGCTAATGAAAGAAAAAAGATGTAAAGAAATTTTTCAGTCGTTGCCTGAATCAATATTTCAACAAAAAGGCTTTCAAAAACTAATCAAAATTAACCAATACAAAAATTCTAACTTTCAACAGTAGAATTTTCACCAATCAAACCTATTAAATGTTACTCTTACATTAATATTTAAACAAAAATTATTTGCGACGAGCAAAACCAGCCGCCATCTCTATAGAAATAATAAATACTTTCGGGCGTACCAAACTTTAAAGTGCGCAATTCTTGTAAAAATACACACATGTTAACAAAATGTGCGTCCAGATGTAGTAAAAAGCATTAATTACAGGGCGGGCTTTTTCAAAACCGTTGAAATAGGCGCAATAGAAGAAGGTCTATACCTGACCCATGCAAGGCCTATTGTCCTCAGGTATTGTTAACCTAACAAAAGACGGTTATGATTCTACAAAAAAAGTCGTTTCGGATTATTTCCGAGTATTCTGAGATAACGCAATATTGATTTTGACCGCCACTCAGAACAAAGTAAATAATAATAAAAATTACGTAATTTATAATATAGTATATACAGAATGAAAATAATTCCAAAACGTATTTCTAAGTCAAACTGAAACAAGTATAAATTTGTGGCAGGTAAGACGTTCCGACAAAATAATGTAGTGGCGCACCAAGTTGTTTCTTATAATTCTCTGTTTTCCCACAAATAAATAAAACTTTCTAATAGCGACAATTTTGCTATTGACAAAATTTTTATTTACTTGATCTTTTCAAATTTTGGTCTTGATGAAATTTACATTTTATTACTCTCTCGCAATAAGAAACGAAATGTAGCCTGTAAATATATAACTTAACTTATGCAATATATATAAGAAATCCAAAGAATATAATACTCCAGCCTACCTATGCTTCATTGAAGCACTTGAAAATGTAATACATTTAGTGTATAACAGAAATATACCCATAAATATTATTCAGAAAATATATACTTGAATAATAACATCCAAGCCCGTATTAATAACAAGTTAACTAAACCTATCCAGGCCAACAACGGTATCAGACAGGGAGACCCTCTTAGTCCGTTATTATTTAATATAATTATGGATGAAGTGATAAAAAAAGTTCGTTTGGGTAGAGGGTACAGAATGGGTAATGATGAAGTGAGAATTATCTGTTATGCAGACGAACGAAGACGATCTGCAGGGACTTTTAAACATCTTCAACCGCACAGGCAAGCAATTTAACATGACTATCTCAGCCCAAAAAACGAAATGTATGACCACATCAAAAGAGCCGCTCAGATGTAAACTGGAATTGGACGGGCAAGTAATTCAACAAGAGATGGAGTTTAAATATCTGAGTATTGACATTACCAGTTATCGAAATATGGAGGACGAAGTGAGGCAACAGGTAGCAAAAGCCAATAAAGTGGCAGGCTGCTTAAACGATGTAATTTGGCGAAACAAACATCTGCAAAAACATACAAAAGTACGATCAGACCGATCATGACCTACACGGCAGAAACAAGATCAGACTTCTGGAGACTACGGAAATGAAGATTCTCCGCTGCATCTCAGGAAAAACACTGCTAGACAGAGAAAGAAACGAAAACATCAGGCAATCGTGCGGAGTGGACAACGTGAACGACTGGGTGCTCCAAAGAAAAAGACAGTGGAATGACCATATTAACCGTATGCAAGATGACAGGCTAGTAAAAATCGTTAGAGGCAAACCACCAGACGGAAGACGGAGCGTGGGACGACCGAGAAAAAGATGGAACGACGATCTCAATCCAGATTGAGAGGCGACCGATGAAACAACAGGTCATAGGCCTACTATAGAAGAAAGGAGAAGAAGAAGACATATACAACTGTCAATGTCAATTTAAGATTTATTATTATTTATGGGATTTGGTGTTCACACATAGCTTTAGCCGGTCAAACCTGGCCCGGCTTGCGGAAAATGTCACTTTATGGCGTTAGTTTCGTTACCCACGTTCACTAGCCACTTCGAACGTTTCGGGTATTTTAGTGACGGGTTTGGGAGCGATCGAATGTTTTCGCTAGTTGTTTTCGCAATTCTGGCGATCACGTCACACGTCACTTGGTGAAAGTACGCACTTTATTATTTATTACTAAATATTATGCCTGTCAGTATTTTTTCAATATCTTAATTATCATAATAATTCTGTTTCCTCCCGTTTCTATTTCCATATTATTAAAAAAGATTTACTTTTAAAAACTTTGCCGCCTTGGTTCTCAAAAGCTAAAATGTTTAGGAGATACGTTCATCCAAATCTCACATAGCAGCATTTTGCGTCATTGTCTCTCTAAACGGCGATCTTGTACTTACTTGTACTTGTACTTTGTATCCCTCCTCCAAATTATTTGATATTGGCGTTAGAGTGCCTGTATTATTAGTACAGGCAAGGCCTCCTTATATCAAAGAGCTATATGACTACTTATTGATTGAAAACGACATTTGAAAAAATAGGTCTTATTTGTTAAAAGTGAGCTTAGAAATTACTAGCACATACTACTTGCTTTTTACAAAACTTCTGGATACCTCCTGCGTCGGTTTTTGGTTAGACGAAATTGCTGACGTTTCGCCAATCATCCTGTTGGCTTCTTCAGAGCTTGATGAAAACTGTTTCATTACTTGTTGGTTGAAAATAAGATTTGAAATAATATGTTTTATTGGTTGAAAGCGAGTTTGGAAAGTAGTAGCACATGCGTGTACTTCATATCCCTTCTCGACATTTTTTGATGTTAGCATCAAAGTGCCTGTATTATCAACATATGCAAGGCCTCCATACATCGTCAAATAGCCATAGATTTACAATATTGGTTGAAAGTGAGTTTGGAAAGTACTAGCACATCGTGTCCTTAGTATTCCTTCTCGACATTTTTAAAAGGTGGCATTATCACAGGCAAGACTGTCATATATCAAATAGCTATATAGATACTTATTAGTTGAAAATAAGACATTATCAGCACAGGCAAGGCCTCCATATATCAAATAGCTATTTGGATACTTATTGATTGAAAACGACATTTGAAATGATATTTATCAAGTAATTATATATCAACAGACCAGCCACTGTGGACCTGATTAATTACTACCACACAATGGCTCGCCTCATTTTACATTAACATATTTTTTTTCAGGAACTTCGCCTCGAACCTGGCCATATTCCCACGACAGTCACCGAGATCTCAATCAGCGGAGGGAGCGTGATCGCGTTCGCCCCCAAGGTATTCAGCGGCCTGCCCGCTTTTACCCTTCTTCGGCTTGATGGTGTAAAGCGGGTCCTGATAGAGACCAAATCATTCTATAACATAAACTCTTCTAGTCTACTCGTTCAGATAATCGGCTGTGATGATCTTGTGATCAACAATGGAGCTTTTGAGGAGATGTTGGTCAGTATAACAATATATCTCAATACCTCCCTAAAATGTTTGAAAATATACCGAGCATATTTTTATTTTTCCATAGGGCACTTTGTCCGTTGAGGTGGTAAGCACCAACAGTGTAATAGTGGGACGGGCTCCGTTCAGCAAACTGATCAACTGTACATTTCAAAATATCGGAAAATTAACTCTAAGCAACCGTGCTTTCGAGATAAAGAACATGCGGACCGCAACCAATGAACGGCATGGTCCGGTAACTGTGGTAAGATTTAACGCTTAGCAATAAGGAAAATGCCTAGAGATTTATCATATTTTCCGGTTTGCCTCAAATGTGCATATGGTTTTTTGAAATACAATATAAAATGGTAGTATTTTGGTTACCGGTGAATGCGCCGGGTCGTTCCTTACAATATTTCCACAATATTGTGGATTTGGTCGAGGCACAGAAATATATTTCGATTAGAAATTATCTTTTGACCATCTGTACCTTCTCATCGAGCATGAAATAATTACGTTTGTAAATACAAGCCTCTCCTCTGCGTTTCTTTTCGTTTGAATAAGCTTGGCCAAAGTTCACTGTTTTTTGGTACTCGTCGCTTTCTCTTAACTTTTGCTCAGGAAGCAATCGTTATATTACATGGTAGAGTCAACCACACGAAAGTGTTGATGGTAGAGCTCGCGTTCTCTATTCCCTTTCATTAGAAGTGAATATGAATTCTACGGTTTGTCCACATATCCAAGGAAATTATTTAATGTATAATATTGAGTGAACCAAACATAGCACTTGATTAGTCTCATCCGATGATTGTGCTATTGATAGACTAGACTACTATTAGTCTTAATCCTATCTTTATTTATAAATAAAATATACCGAGTGAGTACTTAAAAGATCGCATAAATTCAATAAATCTCAAAACATTTTGAAATATTTTTTTGATTTTTCTATTGACACCTGTCAAATATGTTTCGTTATTTAAATTTTGATTTTATCCGGCCATTTTTAACAGGCGACCCTTCAAAAGATTTTTATATTTTTCACCCTATCTTTAGAGATTTTAAAATACAACTCCGAGTAAGGAAGTTACTTTGAATTGTTTCCCAATATTAATTATAAATTTCCTTTTGTAGTATTCGATATTTTGCTTTGTGCTATCTCATAATTAAATATTTGGTTGCGAAAACAAAATATACTGGAACCGAAAGAGTAATTTTTGCAATGCGAAAAGGATTAACAATATCAAGTAAATGAAGTCTGTGACTTGACAAGCTGGGTGAAAATTTTAAAATATTGTATTAGAAAAACATCTCTCTAATTTTTCAAAGAAACTTCCACAGACTACTGTAATACTATTTAGTAAACTTCTGGATTCCTCCTCGGTTGTTGTTGAATCCAACTTGCTGACGTTTCGCCAGTCATCCTGTTGGCTTCTTCAGAGCTTAATTGAAAGTGTCTCGTATTCTATTCTGTACCTGCTTATATATTAATTCAGGGGGGCGGAGTTAAAGCAGGACCATGAACATTATCTCAGATGACCATATTGGTGAAAGGTAAATACCTGAGTCGTGGTTAAGAAGAATTGGTTACATGCAAGAATTTGAATTTTATCGAATAAAATTTTATGTCCGGTTTCGTGATTGTATTCGGCAGCTGCTAATGAGTTTACTTGTAGAGGTGTTAAGGCTCTTTCATGTTCTTTGAGCCTAGTTGATATTTTTCGTCTAGTCTCTTCAATTCCATGTCCCATATACGTGGAATAGTGTAAACTGCTGGCATCTCAAACAGATTTTTTTCTTTGACAGATCGAAAATGTTGAGATGAGATTGGACAAGTGGCTAATCTGGTTTTAACGTTATATTTCTAAAAACTTTTGATATGTGGTCAGTGATGTTGTGAATGTCAGAAAGTGGAAAGTGTGCGGTTGCTTTCGGACCTCATTGTCTTTGGAAGGTTCTCGATAAGTGTACTTCGTGATGAAACGCTTAATGTCTCTAATGTGTAAATTATTAAAGAGTAGAGCAGATGCAAGGGGTTTTAATTCTGGGTTCAGTGACGCCGGTTGGGATAGTTTTACGACACTGTAAACACGACAGTTGGTAACCATTGATTAGGCCAATGGTGATATGACAATGCCTTAATGTTTCGGTTTGTGTGCGTAGGTTTTCTATACACAGAATGAGCCATTGTTAAATCAATAGAAAATCGGAATTAAAACACCTTACATGCTCGTTCCCAATTAGACATATTGAGCCCGAATGCAACACTATATTGTCCTTCCTTGCAGTCAAAAAACCATTGACCACCAATCAAAAGTTCTTTGGAATGTAGTGTCAAAACCAGATTTACCACTTGTTCAATAATTGCATATGCATATGCGGCAAAGAATACATCGGAGAAGCAGGATAAAACTATCAACCAGGCTCAAAGAACATACGAGACTACGAAAAATAAACTCATGCCTAACACAATCACGAAAGCGGACGTAAAATTCTATTCGATAAGACTAAAATTCTTGCATGTAATCAATTCGTCTACCAACGAAAAATGTATAGAAATCTGTAAGCAATCAAACAATCTTAACCTCAACTCAGATTTTTATTTCTTCACCAATATGGGAATCAGTCATCCGAGGAAAGCAGGTACAGAGTAGAACGCTAGCCAGTTTTAGTCAAGCTCTGCAAAAACTAACAAGGTGATTGGCGAAACGTCAGCAGGTTCGATTCAACAACAACCAACGCATGAGGAATCCAGAAGTTTTGTAAATAGTAAACATCTCTTTATTTTGTTTTATTTTAGGTGATCCTCGCAAATGTGGTCATCAGCGAACCTTTATACGAAGTCTTTCTGACTTCGTTAGCTCAGATTACATTCCGAGACAGTCACGTCGGTGACGTCGGTCCAGAGGCCTTCAAACCGACCGAAATATCAGCAGTCCAGATGATCAACACCACTTTCGGAACCGTTATGACAGGCGCCTTCACTGATCGAACGCTAATCAAAGATTTTCTAATCAGCAAATGTACCATATCGAGGCTCCAGACTAAAGCCGTGATGGCAGGCATGGCTAAACTGACTGTTAATCATTCGATGTAAGTTCATATTAATTTTAATTTGTAGCTACATAATAATCACGGTGGATGAAGCTAGTCCTTTTCTAGTGTTTTTGGTTCCTACAAAGATTAGTCTTGTCATAGAGAATAGCGAGGTCATTCAAGATTTCTAATAATAAAATATTTTTGGTATATCATAACGTTTCATCGATACACGTGCATGTTGACTACAAAATTTAAGACAAGAATCGTCAATAGGTTAAAAGTGTAGTTAGTCCAAACTATAGGGGTTGATAATGTTTCCCAATGTAGGAAAAACTTTTAAACAGGTGGTCCATGTGGTATAATAAGTTTTGCGACAATTTTCATAAAGGCCATTTTAGTCACTGAGTGGCATGAGACGTGATCATCATTTCTGAAAAACGTGAAACTAGCATCAGCGGCTAAAATGTTTAAAAAATATCCGATAGCTCTCAAACCGTAGCTACTGTATCGGAAACATCCGAAATGGTTAACAAAGTTCACTGGCTAAAGCGATATTTTGCGTGCGCTTGATCAGTGCATAAGGTATTTCAGAGTGGTTCAGTTATTTTTTTTATGGAAAATCATTTGATTTCAGGGAAAGTATTTGTATTCAACAGGGCACAGACTTTCAGACTGTAAGGTATATTAAAATTTTTTCATTGGATAGCGACCAAAATGATATTTAAGGATCACCATATTTCTTTTGACACTCATTGGGTCCGTAGCTGAATGGGAACCAATAAGCGATGACATTTTCAAAATTTAAAAACCACTATTTCCACTATCCACTATTTAAAAATCTTCTGCATTCCTCCTGCGTCTATTGCCAATCATCATGTTGGCTTCTTTAGACTTAAGCAATCAAATTTTAAGCTCTGAAATGTATTAGGAGAAGTTTTAATGTTCGATCTTTTTCTTACTACTGAAACTGAAACCTCAAATATTTGTATTGATGAGCGATTAAACCACCTTCTGAGGTTTTTAAGCCATGAGTTTTGGTATCTTCCCTATCGACCTTTTTTCCTTGCAGCCTGCACTCTATTATCAACGTCAAAAATTTAAACTTTTCGTCAAAATGTGATCCAAATACTGCATTTTTCTCTGCAATACCCCAATATTCGGCTATATGATATCGAAAGCTTTTAAACAATTTTCTGTTTCAATATTCACACATCTCACCATTGAATGTTTTTCTAGCCTGTTGAGATATTTTTGGACAAGTGGTAAATCTGGTCTTGACGTTGAATGTCTTAAGAAGTTTTGATATGTGGTCAGTGATGTTTTGAATGTAAGGAAGGACAACAGTGGTAAGTGTGGTGTTGCTTTCGAACTCATTGTCTTTAGAAGGTTGTGGCGAAGTGTATTTTGTGATTGAACTAATCGTTCTCTATTGTGGAAATTATTAGAGAGGAGAGCAGATGTGAGGTGTTCTAATTCATGTTTCAGTGTGAACTAATCGTTCTCTATTGTGGAAATTATTAGAGAGGAGAGCAGATGTGAGGTGTTCTAATTCAGGTTTCAGTGACTCAGATGGAGGTAGTTTTATGGCTGGTTTCAGAACAAAATGCCCAATGTTAGGTCTGATTTTCTATTGATAAGAATATCTAGGAATGGGAGATTATTAGTTTATAATCCAATGGTAGAACGTATGTCAGGGTGGATAAAGTTTAAGACAATATCGGAGGAATTTTTGACCGTTTCCATAATTTTAGTTTTAGGTGGAAGGTGTCGAGGGTAATGGTGATACCATAGCTGTTACCGACGATTGTTCAAAAATTTGACCGTTATAAGAAAAATATGTTCCAGGCAAGCATTTTTCAATTAAGGTGAGAAAGTTTGGTTCAAGATTCTCTTATTTTAATATATCTAAAATAATGTTGAGAGTTTCGGGTCCAAACTAAACAGAATTTATATATATATATATATATATATATATTCTAAAGTAGCATTTAATTGTTCAATGAAATGAAAAGAATTAAGAACAAAACTATCAGTTTTCCTTAGTAATCCTGGTTTGTGAATCTTAGGGAGTCCCTAGAGACGAGGAATTTTAAAGTCATGAGGAGTGACCGATTTTTTTCACGGATTCTGATAGAGAAGAAGCCTTAATAATAGATTTAAGTTGACGATAGGATCCGTCTGTAAAAATAACTTGATTTTTTTCTTGGTAGCTTTTTTTCATGACCATCGTAGCATTTTCCTTATCTGTTTCTAGAATTGCGATCTCGGGATTAGATTTTCGAGATTTTTAAAGCAATGCGTTTAGCCTGAACAGGAAAGCTGATAGTTCCGTACTTAAATTCTTTCATTTCATAATTAAAAATCATTACATTAATTTTTACTAACGTTCCTATTCCCGAAATTCTCAACATTATTTCAGATATATTAAAATCCGAGAATATGGAACTATTTTAATTGAAAAATACATATTTTTCTTGTAACGGTCAAATATATGAATAAACGTCGGGAACAACTATCACCATCCGGTTCAAAAATTATCGGTTATCAACTCTCTTGTTTACAGAGCCGTAAAACTATCTCAACCAGAGTTACTGAGCACAGAATTAAAACACCTTACATTTGCTCTTCTCTATAATAATTTCCACATTAGAGCTATTAAGCGTTCCATCACAAAATACACTCCACCACAACCTTCCAAAGACAGTGAGTCCGAAACGTTTGCCACTGTGGTCCTTTCTTAGATTTAAAATCTCACTGACCATAGATCAAAATTTGTTAGGAAATATAACGGTAAAACCAGATTTACGACTTGCTAAAGAATCATCTTCGATTCGTTAAAGATAAAATTTCGTTTGAGATCAGAGGAGTATATGCTTATGCGGCAAAGAATAATTGAGAATCAATACAAATACACTCATATTTAGCTACACCATCCTGACCAATGTGCTTACCTATTGCCTAATCTGCCTAGAAAACTTTTATTTAAGTCCCTACAAAAAGTACCAGTAACTCTGCAGTATCAAAATAGCAATGTTGTCATACTGAAAGTAAGCTTGCATCTTAAGGGCGTGTTGTTGCCGTTGAAAACCACTGCTTAATACTTCAAAATTGTCTCCAGCAGAAGTAGGGTAGGTCATCAGTCAGTATGCAATTGCCAGTAAAAAGTGGGAAAATGCAATAAACAAAAGAGGTCCTTTACCACCTGACTTCTATTCTTAAAACAATTCCGTAACTAGATAATTTGTTATAAATAGCATATTAATGTTTATAACGTCAAAAGTCCGAAAACGAATATACGATTTGAACTACTGAAAGTGTTGATCTGGTGAGCGTTTTTGACGAAAGTCAATTTGCATATTTGTTAACAAATTATTGTTGTCCAAGCAAGCTAGTGGACGCATGTAAGAAAAGAAAGCCAAGATCAAACATTTTGGAAAACGCGGACCGCGAAGCAATACCTCTGTAGTTAGGAACTAACTGCATTGAGAATACTGTTGCGTGCTTTAAGCAAGATGAGAAGCTACCAGTGGAAAACGACTAATTTATGATGTATGTTTATGGCTTAGTGATAAAGTCAACTGTGTACTTTTAAAGTGCTGCATTGAATACTGCCGTAACCAGAACTATTTTTCTGTCTGTTTTTGGCACACTGACATGCACCGTTTTGAAATACGCGTACCTTTTTCAGAATAACGGAAATAGAAACCAATGCCATAATCAGCACGGTAGCCAACGTCGAGATAGTGGGCAACGAAATCCTCACATTTAACCGAGCGGGGTTCGTCATCAGCAACTGGAACAGGATCGTCATCGACCAGAACATCATCAAGAATCTGCACAGGAACTTCGTGGAGGCGCCGGTCAGCGCGGAAACGGAACTGTTCACGTTCAAGGGCAACGAAATCTACAACCTGATGGAAGGTTCGTTGAGTTTCGTGGCGACGCTGGACCCGAGCCACCTCGTCTTCGACGACAACTACTTCGACGAATCGTGCAGCTGCGAGATGAGCGAATGGATTGAGAGTTTGACGAACGGCACCGACAAACTGCAACTGATAATGGATACCAGTTTCTGCACGGTCGACGAAATTTTGGCCAACTGCTTCTCCATGCAACAGGGCGTGATCAACATCCAAAATTTCACAGACCGGACGTGTTACAACAACACCGTCTGCGAGCCGTACAACGGAGAGACGAGAGTGATAGACACGACCAGCAGGATATTCGTGGAAGACACCGAGGCGGAAAAACGCACGTGGCTCATCGTCATATTCGTCGTGATCGCTTTGTTCATCCTCGTGTTGGTGAGCACCTTCGTAGCTCTCTTGGTGCGTGGCAGTCGTTGGCTCAAACGTAAGGGCTACTTCCGCAACCAGTACTACAACAACCACCCCAGCAACGAAGAAGAAAACACGATAGTCACCGTGGACACGGATAACGATAAGCTCGAGATACCGGACGAGTTGACCATAGAGTTCCTTCACGTGCTTTCGAAGAGGCTGGACGATCCGGCCACGCATCAGGAGGCGTCGGAGATGATCGAGAGGCTCTACGAAATGTTCATCATTGACGACAGTTACGAGAACAACAATCGAGAGGAAGAGGTCCACCTTTACGAGGAACTAGGCAACTTGAACCTCCAGATACCTCCGCCTCCGTACGAGGAGCAGGAAAAACCCCAATCGCCGGTGACGAACAGTACCGGGCCCAGGGGTATACTCAAACTGATGGAGGAGAAGTTCTACGGCGGGACGCAAGATGGAGGAGGCAGTAAACCGACGTTGACGGGAGAATATTCCGAACCGACCGACGCGGCGGTTCACTTATATTCGGAACTGAAACACAATCTCGATTCAAAGAAAGATGGTGCGCAATCGAACGGGACTACCAGCATCGCCCTGAAACCTCTACAAAATAATGCGGACTACTTTTTCAAAGCGGGACCGTCTTCCAAATCGTAAATAGTGTTTCGAGGAATTTGAGAGGCGAGTGCGGTCTCGATACTAATTGTATCCCCCGAAAAAATGGGAAAAGCGCCAATTAGACATTCCAAAAAACAAATAGCGCGCGATAAGATTGACTGCTTAACGACGTTCTATTTTATTTTGTTAATACCACGTCGCTAGGGCAATGCGAAGTGTTTTCTCGTGTAAATATTTTACGTTAGGCTTTTTACTACCATAACAATTTGGAATAAACACAATCTCCATTAAATGCCATACGAAGTAATAAATAAAGCAAGAAATCTCCTTGCCTTGCTGTGATACTGTACAGATTTTTAACGTAGTTAGAATTTAGATCTTAAATGTATATTTTGTATTTTAACGAGTTTAAATGATAATGTATAATTTTTTTATAAGCGTAGTAAATGTTTTTTTTTTAATTACAAGAGGAGTGTTTACTTTTTAGTTACCGTGCCCGATATAAAAGTGGAAACTACTCCAACGTAATCCATGAACATCGTGAAGTTGCTAGAGAGATATCAAGTATTATGTTGGGTTTAATTGAAAACAAATAACTAATTCATCCCAAAGAAAACAAATGGCTTGATACCTCAACTAGAAACAGCGCAACTTTCTACTTTTAATTTAATTGTTAGTTGGCAATGCAGGTGCACAGGCTAATTACTAACAGCAATCAGTTGTAGATTTAGTAATATAGTGGAACATTCAACAAAGATCACGGTGTGCAATGTATAATTATCACATGTAGAGAATCAATTCTAAAGTGAAAAAGGTGAAAACAATTTAGTTGTTATGAATCCATGCTTATTGCATTTTTTTTTTATAAACCCCATACTGCTGATGAACACTATCTCATGAACAAGCTTAAAGGAATTCTTATTGCAGCTTTTGAAGCTACTAAGTAAACATATTTCAAGTTATAATTAAAAAAGTTTGCTAAAACCACATATACACACTAATATTTAGCAGCTTCTTAAAAAGATGTCTCAAACTACGCATTTTTCCAGACACCCACCTCCATGTCACTATATTATTTGCTATGGTTCAAAATCACAACTATAGGCTATTTCAGACAACTGCAGAGTAATGAAAAGGAAATTCTGCCCGGTTTGGTCTAACTTTTGAGCACTTACCACCTGATATAATGTATTGAGTATAGCCACTTCAAATAGGTAGTCAGCAGAAGAAAAGAAAAGATAATGTGGGATGTTGACAAATTTATCAATCGATTTTTTTATAATTTAATTTCTGAATAATGCATTTTTGTATAATGTTTAATATAGAATAAGGGTACTTAATAAAATCTACAGCGTGGTCGGTTTAAGAGGGGCATATACCTTGTCCCTAAATCTATGAGTCTTATAAAAAAATTGAATATAAAAGTTGTTTCCATTAAAATGATCTTTAATAGTGGTCAAATAAAGTTATTCAGTTCAATAAAGGAATTCAGGTTATGTTCGAAAAGTTCTTGTTACGTACATTTTCACTTTTTCTCAGACAACATTCAAAATTGAAATATTTTTATCAATGTCTCGCAATTTTTTTAAAGCAAAAACCCTTTAAAAGACGAATCCTACAATATATATGAACATTGGCCTGCGATGCACCGTTCTGAATTTATTGGCCTTAATTCTGAAAGCACCTTTAATATTTTTTATGAAATTGCTCTATCGATAGCCATTTATTTAAATACTGTAAAAATTATAGATAATTCTATTTTTAAAATACTAACATTTGGCAAAGTACTAGGAACCAGAAAATGAGTACTCTATAATCGGAAGTACGCAGAGCTTGACTGAAACTGAAGAAGCCAACAGGATGATTGGCGCAACGGCAGCAAGTTCGATTCAGCAAAAACCGACATAGGAGGAATCCAGAAGTTTTATAAAATGTATTGCAGTAGCTTGTGGAAGTTTCTTTGAAAAAAAAAGATATTGTTGTTTCTGCCAATTTATTTTGTCTAGCAATTTCCGCCTTACCGCTCTCAATACTTCTGATAATCTCTATCTTTTCTTTTACAGTTAAAGACCAACAACTCAAAAAATCGTGTTAGCGGACCTTTCCATAAAACAATAAATTGAAAACTGTCCAAAGCGAAAATGATTGGTCAGATATACAAGACATCTGTAATGTTTTAAATCCTGCGAAAAAAACACAAAAATTATTCCAAACAACGCATTTGTTGGTTGGAGATTTTTATTCTGCCTGACTGAAGTGTAAAATGGAAACAAGTAAAATTTGTAGCCAATTTTCAATAAGTTTGGGGAAATTCCGAAACGAAAGGGAAAAAGCACGGTTTAATCAAGATTTGATTATGTAAACAATATTTCTTGATCCAAGATTCAAAGTAGTTTTATCTACTTCACAGATTGACATAGCTAAAAACTACATCTTATATGTATGGAATGCTCTAGAGTCAACTTCAACAGAAGAAGATGAAATAGAGCAATTTTTAAAACAAACACTAAATATTTCTTCAAAATCTCATAATACAGCACATATTCGATGGTTGTTAGATCGTTATTATGAAGAACCGCGCGAAAAGTGGGCATCAAAAGAAACGTCATCAAATGAATTGCATAACGTTGCAAAACGAATTATTGGTTTACCTATGACACGAATGAGTGTTGAACGAGCATTTTCAGCACATATTTTAAATTGTCAAAGGACGAATTTAAAAGAAAATTTATTTGAAGATGTCTTGCTCCCTAGATTAAATAGTTTAAATAGAAATATTCATATATACCACAATTATTAATAATTATCCTGTGATTTACTTTAGAATATATCTCACTGAATTATTTATATATATTTTTAATATAAAATAAATATGTAAAAAAAATGCTCTTATTTTTAATAATAATAATAACTTTATTTACAAATAGCCAAAAACCATGGCACAAAATTTTTAAATAAGTGAAAGTTAATTGAAATAAAGCAAGATCAGAGAGAAAAGAAACAAATATTAATATTTAAAATATAAAGCAAAAAAAAACAAGAAAAATCTGGCATACCACTAAACTGCATAGCAGTTTGTGCGTGGTTATCAAATAACTAAATTCAATGGGAATAAATGAAAGAAACTAAAAACGATTCTTGCGTCTCCAATACAGAAACGGTCTCGAACAATTTATTCTAAATTTTATTTTTAATATTTATAAAAAGCAAAAACGACATCACCACGTAAACTGCAGTTGATTGAAATTTTTAAAGGCATAAATTTTATGTTAGTAATTTTTGCCAGCTATGATTAAAATTATGACAAGTGACTTTTTGTCAAATATAAAAAAATATAAAAAGGCATGTTGCCATACTTTTATTAGAAAAATGGTAAAGAACCGGTTTTAACCGTTACTTCATTTCGGTTCACAAAAACGAAAATGATATTTTTTGGGTGTGAACGAAATTTTTCTTTTTCCTTCTGATCGGAAATGAACAAAATATTTTTCGTTTTTAATCCCTGATTTAGAGTAGACGTTCCTAATAACTGTTTGTCAACATCCCAACTCAACAGATTATTTTTAATTATTTTAATTCGAGTAATCCGATGGCGTAAGTGTAATAAACATATGCAATGCGATAGCATGGACGGAATATCAAATCGATAAAGGCTAAATATCAGCAACAAAAGTTCATAATTGAAAAACGTAAATAGTGAAGGCACGCAGTAGGTGCTCAGCTCAGTGACGATCCGCGTTTTGCCAAGCAAGCGTCGCCCGCGATTTATGCCGCCGCCAAGGCCGAACGCGCACGGTAATTTGAAACATCAATTTCGCGGATACGGGAACGTAATTAAAAGCAAATAACGCGGCGCGAATCCTTGTGCATAACGCCCTTGCTTATTATCCCGAAATTCGTTTGACAATACGTCGATGAAAAATTTAAGTGACTTTTGGATTAGTCTTCACAACACTCTCTGGTCATCCCCTGATTTTGGTTGTTAAAATTCGGTGATCTAACCATTCACGCCACTGCCTGGCTGGAGATTCTTCGGCAGGTATCTTAATGAATATTATTGTCAAAGAGATGTACGCCTATGATTTGCAATTTTTGTTATTTACTTTGAATAAGCCAATAGGAGTAGATGGGCAAAATAGGAAACTTTTAGATGTAAACTTTCCTTGCTAAAGGAGAAACTAATATCACTGGTTGGAACTCGATTTTATAAAACACCATGGTAAATAACCGCTGATCTAGTATAATTTCAGAATTATAGGGTATTTTTCTAAAATATGCATTTTTTTGAAAAAAGCAACATTTTATGCAAAAATTTAATGACTTAAATATAATATTTCTACAATTCATAGTTTAGCAGTGGGGCCATCCTGTATATTTTTGAATCAATGAAAATAACTTCAAATTACATTCCCCCACCTTTCCCTTTTCTTCATATTTTGCTAAAGTTTTATTCAAAATAAAGAATTTTTGACACTTTGAATAAGTAAACAAACAACTTTTTTCTGCTCCCGTCTATTAAATATCTAATTATACACCGATCTAGCGTGCGGGAAGCGTCACTTTACCATGTCAGTTTCGTTTCCCAGGGATCCGAGCCACTTCGGCATTTCCGGAATTTTACCGCTCTAGTTTGGGAGCAATCCGATGGTTTCGGAGATATTTCCCACGCGTTGAATTTGGACGGTCATGTCACTGAATGTATTCGTATTGTTTTGCGAAAATGTATCCAAAAACTAACGGTCGTAGATAAAGTATAGTATGCAACACGTTCGGTAAACTTTTTAAGTCACTCGTTTATTAAACACTCGCTCCGCTCGTGTCACATAAACTCGTGAGTCAAATGCCATTTACCGCACTTATTGCATAATATACTATTTATAGACGTTTTCAATACGACTTGCAGGATATAATTTTTTTAGACGATAAAAATAACCATACAACGTAAATACAGATATATTTCACACAGTACCAAAAATGTGCAAGTGCTTCCAAGAAAAATCTAATCAAATACACGTTTAAAATGTATTTGAAAGGTTATTTATAGCCAAAATTACAACTTGGCAACTGCATGAAAGCATAATAATAATGTAAAGTAGTACATTATGCAACAAGTGCGGTAAACGGCATTTGACTCATGGGTTTACTTGACACGAGCGAAGCGCAGCGGAGCAAAACAACAAGATTACATTCACTGACATGACCGTCCGAATTGACAAACGTCAAAATTCAAAGCGTCGGAAATATCTCCGAAAACATTCGATTGCTCCCAGACCCGTACGGTAAAGTGACGCTTCCCGCACGCTAGATCGGTGTGTAATTAGATATTTAGAAAAAAAAAGGTAGAAAAAATCGATTTTATGGTTCATAACTTATGAAATGTTAGTTTTGAAAATATTATATTTGCATTAGTAAATTCAGCGTATAAAATTGCCTTTTGCAAAACAATTCTGCTATTCTGGCCATGTTTTAACGGCAAACGCATGTTTTTTTCGTAGAATTTAGCTATGGCATTTTTATGTTTGTCAGTTCTGATGGTCACATCACTCAGTGATTATATTCGTTTTCCAAAAATTTACTCAATAATTAAAAGTAGATACACATATAGTAAAAACATCTCCAGACACT